ATAATGACGATTGGAAAGTTTCGTATGTTATAAACGTGGATCGATACTAACGAGAAGCGATTTCCATTGAAATAATTCGAGGGGAGAGAAAACGTTGGAGCGCCATTGGAGCGCGAGACAAAAAAGAAATAAAAGAGAGTCGATCGTACAGAGGTGCGAGCGAGAACCGACTCTTGGAGAAAAAAAGAAACGAGCGGATTGAAGTCGCAAGGTCGCGCCCCGGGTATATAAAACTAGTTTGAACGAGCGGAATCGGATGATATCCCGGACTGGGGTAGACAAAGGCAGACGGAGAAAAATAGAGGGACAGCACAAGTGAGATGGCGCGATCATCCATCCGGAATTAAATTGGCCGCGGGCGAGATGCTCGCGAAGCCGTGAAATTACCATTTTGAAGCTGCAACGCGCTTTCAAAGCCACGTCTCTTTTTGCTCGCGCGAGCTGTCGCACCCGCGATCTTATTAGCGGTATTCACGGCCACCTATCGCCAAAGGCGAATAACATACGTCGTGGTCAAACGCGAGCGTCATGTCGCGATAAGTTGACTTAAGGCCTCAGAATAGTATGAAAAATTGATGACTTTTACGAATTATTTTTTTTTAAGAATATTAGAAATTGATCTTTTTAGCATTGTATATATGTTTTCGTTGATGTTTAAATAGTACGTTAGTATTTTTCAATCTTGGATATTTAGCTTTTTTTCATTTAATTCCAGCCTCTGCGCGTAGCGTGTTTAAAAATGACTATGTTGACATTCTGCTCCTCGTATAATTGTTTAAAATGAAAAAAACTCTAGTTTCCGTAGGATATTTTTAGGATACTGAATCTAATTTTATTAGAAAAAGTTGAAAAATAACAAAGTAATGTCATTTTAAAATTAGATATTTTAATTTTGCTGAAATTTTTTTATTTCTTGAAGAGAAATAAAAAAAAAGATCAAAAAGACAGTAACGATGTCGTCGTTGCAATAGTTTTGTTTCGCAAAAAATCAAAGAAATGAAATAAGAGTGTGCAAATTAGAAACTTGCATATTGCTTCCTCATCATTTTATTTTGTTCACAAAGTTCCTCCTCAGAGCAAGCGGGTTTTTCAATTCTGGCTTCCTCATAGAGGAAGATTTGTAAGCGAAATAAAATGATAAAGAAGCAATGTGCAAGTTTCTAATTTGTACGCTTGTTCATGTAAAAAAATTTAACCCGATATCTCAAAATTTGTGGAAAAATGAAAAAAAAATTTTTTCACGAAAACAAAGCTTTCTCCCTCTATAAAGAAGCAAAAGAATATTAAATATTAATTCAGTTAAAAACTATCAAATATTAATTTTTTAAATTCTAATTAGATTCAGAATTCTCACCTTCCCCCCCACCCCCAAAAAAAAAATATCCTCCAGAATAAAACTGGACCGACTTTTATTTCAGACAATTACACGAGGAGCAGCAATGTCACACCGTCGCATTTGAACACGCTACGCGCAAAGGCTCGAACAAAAAAATTGAACAAAAAAGAAACTAAATATTAAAAATACTGACGTGCTGTTTAAACATCAATTAAAACATATGTAAAATGCCAAAAAGATCAATTTCTAATATCCTTCAAAAAAAAAAAAAATTCCTAAAAATCATCAATTTTTCATATTGCTAAAATGGACTACGTCCTTAAAAAACCCAAACCGAGAAGAAAGAAATCAAAGAAATCAAAGAAATGTCGTTAAAGTATTTTCTTTTACGAGTACATCTTCTCGCGTCGTGATCATTCGCTGATTACGATATCGGAACGGACACGTTGTCGAGACGAATAACGCGTTCACTCAATGAACGAGAATCGAACAAAGAGAGGCGCTAACAAATTGTATCGATCGCGCAGGAGAATCTTGAGTTGGTTAATTGCTAATTAACGCGGAATCCTCGCGGACTATAGAATGCGGAAAGCAAAGTGGAAGTAATCTTTTTGAATTCCTTCTGTTGGAAAAATTCGGACGGGCTGGCCGTAATCTCGCCGAAGGATCGGCATTAATTAAGCGCTTCCCCGAAAGAAAAAGCTCTCTCGTGAAACGAGTTACCGCGAGGGCTTAAGTTCTAAAAGGAGCAACGGAGGAATGAGAAAAAAAGATTATCCAGAGCACACGAGAGAAAAAAAAGGGGCGACACCACTTATGTTACGTCGTCTTCCATATATGCTTTTTACTCGATATAACAGAGCAAACAGAACGCGCATAGACGTTTTCGAGAACGATGCTCTCTCAACAATTTTCTATATAAATTTGTTCTCTTCACTTCCGTCTAGTGGTTGGGAAACTTTGATTTGATTGGATAACTCGCGGAGCGCTATAACCTTTTACGACAGATATATCCAGACATATAATGCTATAATAAAGACATCTACTTTTTTACGTATATAGTTTATAGCGTAGCATAAAGTGGTCGAATTGATATTAACAGAAATTTGTGCAACACAATGTGGATTATAACATTTAGGAAAGTTTGAGTTTCCACAATTTTCAAATTCTTATTTATAAACGATTGATGGATTTTCTCGATATTGGTTTTTGTTTCAAAATGCAAAATTAGTATTTTCTCTTTCAATGTCTTTATTTAAAAAAAAAAAAAAAAGGATATTTTAATATTTTTAACGTCATTTTTTTATTTTCCAATTTTTAATAAAAAGATAAAGGATGTCGAAATGAAGCTTAGATTTTCCAAGTACACTTTAATCCGTTGCTGTAAAGAGCGTCATTTCGAGGATCTGACAAAAAGCGCAAAATAAGACCAAAAGAATCAAGAAAAAGAGCGGACCAAGTAACTGAAAGCGTTAATAGAACGTAAAAAGAGGGATCGCGTGTGGCGAAAATCTGTAGAGAAAGTTTGGCCGTACCAAGATGACCAAAGGAAAAGCCTTTGAGTCATCGAGTATATGTGTAACAACGCGTGTCTTTTATCGCGTGTACGCGCAACCAGATGGTCACGTTGAATTTACCTCAAAGGTGGTTTCAAGCTCGATTATCGAGATAAAAGAATGAGAGAGCAGGGGTAAGTCAATTTACGGTACGCATAATTATAGCGAAGGAAGAACAGACGAAAAAAAAATTGCATTCATTGTTATTTCGCTAACGCATCTCCACCTCTCTATTTTTCTCTCCCATCTATGTTCGCAGAAAAAATTATCATTCGTTGCAAAAGTTGTATATTTTCTTACTCGCTTAAAACCGGGTGCAGATTAAACAAATCAGCATAAACAATCACAAACAAACATCAACAAACGAGCGTCAAAGTACGTAAATTATTGATTTTTTAACAATTTTGTTAGATAATTTTTTAATAAAATTTTCTATAAAAAGATGCTTATATAAAATTATTAATTAAATAATGTTCTTAATACCGATATTTACGGATATTTGTTCTTGGTTCGCTTCGTTTGAACCCGGTTAAACACAGCGCTCTCGCAATATAAACAATATTTTGAGTGCTTTTATTCAGCGATTAATTATGACTATCGGTGGTTGTGGTGGTGATCAAAATTTGTTAATTTAATATTGTATTATATAACTATACATTATAGTTATACATTATAGTTATTATATTAATTATTTATTTATTTTATATATCTTCTATTTGATTCAAGAGAAATTATTCATATAGGCTTTATGATAATAAATTATTCAACTAAATAAATAATTTGCGCAGTTTTATATGAAGGAATATTTGAAGTATTATTAAAGCATGATGAGAAAAATTTTGGAAAAATTGATATTGGCGTTAAGTATACAATGCTGGAATTACTAGCATCATTTTTTACATTACATTTCTTTAATTTTACGACGATGAACGATATGATAAACTTGAAAGATTCAGATGTGATGCATAAATCGCTCGTCGGAATCATTTATTATTTCGCATAATAGGGTAAACCACGCCATCACTGACAGCTTAAACCGTGGTACCCTATCATTTACGAATGTTTCCGGAGTAGTATTCCCAATCCCTTAACCCTCTAAGCGCGTAATCTCTTGCCGCTATGGACGAGCATCGAATATCGTAACATCGAGTTATTCGAGTATTGACACACCTCGCACTCTCAATCCTCTCGTCCCGAGAACGGTTCTCGAGCGCGGTCGCAAAAGGAGACGGGAGAACGGAGGAGGGTTGGTCGTTGCGGCTTAAGAGGATGCTGGGCGGAAAAGGTGGGAAAAGTTTACGCCGGCATGACGGAATAAATCGTCGATCCGACAGGTGTAAGTTGTACGATCAGCGTAAACTCGAATCCGCAACTGCTCTACCCACAACTTTTCGTAACACAAACACGCGCACGGGTGGATCCGTGTGGTGTGGTGTGGTGTGGTGTGGTGTGGTGTGGTGACACATTATCATCATTCTTGTCTTCAACGGTTTCCGACGAGAGTTTCGGGAAAATTTTGGCGCCCGCCAAAGTACACCCCCTCCTATACTCGCCTCGCTCTTTTGCGGGGAACAATGGAATCCCGCTGGATGACATCGAGTCAATATACGTTTGCGAAGCGAAACTCGGTCTAGTTGTAATATATCGAGTTGAGATGAAACTTCACTTACGGAGAAACAAAAATACGTGATTAAAATATAAATTGTTATTTAAATATGTGAATAACAGCTCTATTAATAATTTATTCATTATTTTTAAAGTACGAACGAGTGAAAACAAGATAATCAAACATATATATAT